CCTTATTTCTAATCCGTAAATACTCTCTTATGAACTCTTTTCTTTTAACTTTTTGCCATGTTTTTACCATGCCATCAGTTACAGCTAATGAAACAAAGTTAATAATTCTGGACCAAATAAGAAATCTAATGTTTAGTCGTCAGCATCATCATCATCCCCATTACTGTTCCCCTTTCACAAGTACAAAACAAACAACGGGGAGGGGGCTCCGTTTTGACACAGACATCTGCCCAAGAGTTCAGCATACAGATTGATTTTAAAAAGGTCCATTTGTTGGTGTGTGCCTGCCACATGTATACATATATATTTACACATCTACACACCCACACGCGCACACACACACAAACACACTCACGCAGGCTTGTGAAGCTTTCTGAATCCATTTAAAATTTTTTCTTAGTGCACATGAGATTATATTTTCATCATTATTTTGGAAATAAACTGAAAATTGCAAAACAACAAAGGAGTCTAGATAATGTGTGACTATTTTCCCTTTTCTTTGTTGAGTCTGTTTATAAAAAAAAAAACAGAAAAAAAAAACAAATCAAAACATCAATTATGACCACAATGGTCATGTGTCATCCATTGCATGTTTACCAGGACAACAGTCCTTCCGCCGCCTCCGTTGGATGAATCTATGGTGGACTGGACTGACCTTGCAGAGCCAAAGTAACACCAAGGCTGGTGGTTTATGCATACATTAAAAAGCATCCTGCTGTGGCACAATGCTGTGATATGAGCTTGTTTTCCATTACAAACCAGAAATGTTATATATTAAAAAAAACTAAACTAAAATCTCAACGCACATCTCAAGTAACTTGGTTCATTCTAGAGCTGTCTTGATGTGGAAAACAAGACAGTMCAGGCAGAAAGCATTTTGTGCATAAGTACTGTGTCCTTGCCAGGAGATTAAAATATGGGGTGGACAGATAAATCATTTATGTGTTGGCAAGTGATTTCCAGGGTGATCAAACAGGAGAAAAAAACGACACAATAATAACAGAAAGCAATCAGGCAGAAGAAAGGCAGGCTCCTGTGCTGTGGAGATCTATCTCTGACCCCTTCAAACTGTAGTGTTGACAGGAAGCAGCTCCCTGCAGGCTGGCACAGCACAGGCACTGACGGCTAAGCTGTGCATGTGTATGTTCCTCACCCCGATTTACCACAGAGGCTCCAGGCAAAGTGCCGGCTTTCGACCAGCTTTGTATTAAAAAGTTGCAGTGACAGGCCTCGGTCATGGCAGGCTACACCAGTGTGTAGGACTTGGAGTAGGCTCCCGAGCCCCCATCCCTCTGCTTCTGTAGTCTGCCTAAGCCCGAGGAGCTGCTCTCCAGGAGAGAGTCTCTGGATCCTCCTATCTTGGAGGAAGAAGAGGAGGCACCTCCAGGGGTCCCACCTGTGGCKCCCGCTGCTCCGCCTCCACTAGAGGAGGACGACACCCCTGCAGCAGCGGCGGTGGCTGCAGCAGCTGCGGCTGCGCTCTGAGCCACTGCGGCAGAGGAGCCAGGCATGGTTAGAGTCCTCTGGGGAAGTGTGGAACTGCTCGAGCTAGCAGACATTCCTCCACTTCCACCACCTCCACCAGCACCTGCTGACGCTCCTCCGGAGGAAGCCGCAGAGGAAGTGAGGTTGGAAAGCCCAGAGTGGCCCATGGAAAGAGCCTGCTGCTTTGCAGAGTCCATAGTCACATGACGGCRCTGGCTGTGGTACACTCGTTGGGCCAGGCCACGAATTGAGGCTTCGCGTGGCGGAACCACTGGACACGGGTCGTGATGTTCTGACTGCTTTCGGAAAAAGGGATCTGACTTCATGTAGAGGGGAAGATTGCAGTAATCACCTAGAAAGGAAAAGCAAATTGAACTCAGCTGTGAATATTTTTTTTGATTTTATAAAACAAGGTTATTATTTTTTTAACAACAGGTTGAGCTTTAAAGTAAACATAACATTAGGGT